CTATTTAAACATTTCAAGAAACTTTTCAAAGATATCTATGTTAAGTCCTCACTAAGAGTTAAGCCAGAAAGAACACAACTCTCCACATGCCCATCTACGCCATTTTGCAGACGATGCCAAAATTGATGCAAGATCATCGTCATCTTAAAAGACAACGGTGATGAACATAATTGATAGATCTGCTCCATTTGATGTTTATGGAGTTTTTCAGGTGCTACACTTAAAAGGACTGGAATTGTAGACAGTGACTTTGTTTCTAAATAAAGAGGCTGTTGGGTTATTATCAAATTGAAAGTTACATTTACATTTGGTATGCATTGTGCTTTTTTATTATTTAATATCAGATAATCCGATGAAGACAGATATGAGCATTCTTTATTCTCTGTAATGATCTTATAACAAGCTAATGGAAACTCTGACGTAATTTATGTGTTCAAGTTTAGTATCATGTTCTAGCTAGCTAGGAAGTTACATTTAAGATACTTGACTGGTGTAACAAATAGAAGAGAGGTTACTATAGAAAAAGCCTAAAGAGTATTTATAGCACTGAAACTTCAAAAGTTCCGCAATTTGATAGGAAGTGCATGCTATATAATTGTTTTTTTTTTATCAAATCTATGCTATATAATTTTAAATTTTAACTACATGTACTTAATATATATATATATATATTTTTAAAAAGATTAAATTGAGAAAAAGGGCCTGTTTATAAAGGAGTATCAATATACTATTAAATCAGTATGCTGCTGTAAAATTATATATCAAATTATTTCCAAATATATACGTATTTAGAATATATATTTAATAATTTTTATAGTTTTTTATTGAAAATAATGAATTTTATTTAATTATATATAAATTATATTTAAAATTAAATATTATTATTTTAAATATATATTAATAGTAAATTTAGTTTAAAAATAAATTTAATTTTAGATATAAATATAAGCATCATATGATTAAATAAAATAAAATAAATATTTATTTTTTAGATTTTACATGTTCTAAATGCTAATATTATACCGAAAACTAGAGTATTGGACAAATAGTATTTGTAAAGCATTTATTTTTAAATATTTTTATAATAATAAGTAAGTGGGTAATAGAGTATGATATTTTTATAAATACTCTGCTAGCCAAAGCTTTAAAGAAGAAATTCTCAAAAAAAAAAAACTAATAGACTTTTCATTTGCTATTGTATTATTGCCTATTGGTTAACTTAATTAACTAACTAAATTGTACACAAATTATCATTGTTATATTTATAAGAATTACTTTTATTGACAGATAATAAACTCTATCATGTTATTTTATTTTTCTATAAAAATTGATATAAAATATATATTTAGAAAAGATAATATGTAGTGGTACTAAATGGAAGGTAAACATGTATAGTAGTATCAATATGATGTAAAGCTACAAAATTGAAGATCGTATAAGGGTTTGAAATTCAAGAAAAGAATAGAAGATCGTATAAGGGTTCCGTTACGATATTCGCCGTTGCCCATTGACGTGTTTTGATGGAAGAAGAATTTGGTTCTTTGCTTCTTTTTTGTTGTTGTAAATATTCTGTTTTTTTTTGCTTCTTTTGAGATTAAAGATAGAAAGAAAAGGGGCATATATGATGATGATGATGTCACGTTTTGAAATTAAGTTGTGGCTTAAAGCATAAGACCAAGATTATCATCAAGAAAGAACATCCGCATTATGCCTTTTTACAAAAAAAAAAAAAAGAACATCCGCATTTATATTTTAATTTATTTTATAAATATTGAATATTATTTTATTTTATTTTACAAAAGAGAAAAGAGAGAGGCAAAACGGGTTTCTTATAGAAGAAATTCTCACTAACCTACATATGGTTGGTTAACATCTATACTATTATTTGCGAAGTAATTTTTCGCAATGGAGCTCTCACGTTGAAAGTTGGAGTGGTTAATATCGATTATACCCTTAATGAATAAATTATATAAATTAATTATATATGAAAACGAATTTTAATTTATTTTATTAGATAATTTATTTTAATCAATAACAATAAGAGTTATCCAAAATCAAGAATATATTTTATTTTAAAAAGATAATTCTTATATATTGTATTGTTATCTGAAACTATCTTTTCATAAAATATTTTAAAATTCAAAAAACAGAAAACCAAAAAAAATCAAAAACAGAAAACCAAAAAAAATCAAAAACAGAAAACAATAATTAAAATTAATTAATTAAAATTCTTAATTTTATATAATTGAAAAAAATATTGTATAATTTTTAATAAAAGTAAAAATTTTGAAAATGATTATTAATTAGTAATATATTTACTAACAAATAATTATAAAAAGCTTAAGCAAAGTGATTTTTCGTAAAGGCACTCCCACGTCAAAAGTTAGCGAGGTTAATATCGTTTATACCATTAATGAATAAATTATATAAATTAATTATATATAAAAACGAATTTAAATTTATTTTCTTAGATAAGTTATTTTAAACAATAACAATAAAAGTTATCCAAATCCAAAAATATATTTTATTTTAAACAGACAATTCATATATATATTGTATTGTTATCTGAAAGCTATCTTTAATAAAATATCTAAAAATTAAAAAACAGAAAATAAATAATTAAATATTAATTAATTAAAATTCATATTTATTATAATTGAAAGAATAATATTTGAATTATTTTAAGATTAAAATTTTTCAAAATGAAAACACAATAATAATATATGCTTATAATTTTAATTAGTAATATATTTAATTAGTATATATAATTATAAAACACTTAAGCCCGCATGGCGGGCAAAACACCTAGTAATTAAATAACTAAACTGTATTATTATTCTTATACTAGTTGCATACCCCCCCCGCGCAAGCGCGGGGCCGAAATCGTTATGTTTGCGTATATTTTTTTCGGTTTAGTGGTTTAGTGGATTCTTCTAATGACTCCAAATATTAATGAAATGAAAAGAATGTAGTAAGAGTGTAAAGTGAAAATATTGTATATCTAATGTGTTAAATGTTATTAATATGCGAAGTAAGGTTTATAGGAACAGTTAGGTTATAATATAGTTTTTAGTGTGTAAAAGTAGGTGTCTATTTTTTTATTTTATTTTTGCTGTATATAGTTTTCATATCGTATGTCAAAACTTGATATAATTCTATATTTATAATATTTATATTTGTATTAAACGATTTATCAATTTAAAAATAACCTTAATTAAGTTAATATTCGTTGTTTAAGTTTCATTAGATAGGTTTTTATATATGGGTCGTTCAAAAAAAAAAGGTTTTTATATATGGTTTTTTGTAAGTTTTGGTTTCGTTCATAAATGATGGGGCATTTTTATCTGCGGCGTCATCGAGGAATCCATTCACCGAAGTCTAGAGTCGGTGGTGAGGAATGTTTTCAATGAAATTACAGTAGTTATTAAAATGTAAGAGAAATTACATATTCATTCAATAAATAACGAAAAATACTTAATTTTGTTGTTTATTTTATTTTATTTAACATACAAATTGTTTGAAAATATATTAGGAATGAGTTAAATGTTATTTATATGCGAAGTAAGTTTATATGAATAGTTATGCTATAATATAGTTTTTAGTGTGTAAAAGTAGGTGTTTTGTTTTTGCTGTAAATAGTTTTTATATCGTAAGTCAAAACTTGATATAATTCTATATTTATAGTATTTATATTTGTATTAAACGATTTATCAATTTGAAAATAACCTTAATTAAGTTAACATTCGTTGTTTAAGTTTCATTAGATAGGTTTTTATATATGTTTTTTTTGTAAGTTTGAGTTTTGTTCATAAATGATGTGGCATTTTTATTTACGGCGTCATCGACTGTGGGAATCCATTAGCCGGAGTTTGAAATCGGTGGTGAAGAATGTTTTCAATGAAATTATAGTAGTTATTAAAATGTAAGAGAAATTACATATTCAATAAATAAATAACGAAAATAATTAATTTTTGTTGTTTTTTTTATTTTATCTCACATACAAATTTTTTGAAAATATATATTAGGAAATATGTGCAATGATTTCACTTTTGAGCTCTTAATCTATATTATTCAAGCCATCCACGTAGGTAGCCGCGTGGGATTCACTTTTTTTTTTGGTCGGTTCGTTTTTGGATTCATTTTTTATTATTTTTGGGTTGAACTATATTATAATAGGATAGTTTTAAGGCTCTTTAAGCCATCCGCGTAGGCAACCGCGTGAGACTTGCTTTTTTTTTTGTTTTTTTATTGTTCGTTGTGCATCCATTTTTAACTATTTTTAGTTTGAACTCGTTAAGCTTTAGGGTTTATCCAACTATTTTGATCTTTAAAACAATAAGTCATAAAAAAAACATAAAAACCTTACAAACAAAAAGCCCATATGATATAACCCAAATAAAAAAATCAAAAATAAATGATGGCTGCGTGGTTTGAACTCACGATCTTGCATTCTTAATTAGACACCTTTTACCACTTGGCTAAAGTGTATTTCATTGTTTGTAATCATCTTACCAAGACTATAAGTTTTTTAAAAATACCTATGGGACCCACAAAACTGCTGACGTGGCGCGTTGTGGAGCCTAGAAAGTGTACTATTATAATATAGATTTATAAAAAAACATTAATGGTTTTTGTGACGGATCAGATAATGACTCTCTAAACGATTGCAATTCTCATAAAACTGACATGTATATATATATATAGAGAGAGAGATAAACTAAAAAACTACCATTACGTATAGAAGGAAAAGAATTCTATGACCCAAAGCTACAAGTTATATGTGTTTAGGTTTAAAATTCACGAAAAGAATAGGAGATGGTATAAGTTTTTACTTATGATATACGCCATTTCCCATTGTCCTGTTTTCAGGGAAGAAGAATTTGATTCTTTGCTCTCTTTTTTGAAAAGTTTTGCTAAAGAGTTACAATAGTTATTATTTGGTTACAAAGGCGTCTATATATATATATATGATGAAACAAAACCTCTGATTCAGAGACAATATGGATACAAAAAGAACAACACATAACCTACCCATTCACAAGCATCCTCTTTTCCCTTCAACTATGTTTCGTCTTGTTGAATGTGGTGGCTGCCATGTAGAAGAAACCATCTACGGCGGCTACGTATGCAATGAGCCTTACTGTAACGCTTGGTTTCATAAGGAGTGCGCTGAAGCTCCACCAGAGATTAATCATCACCCTTCCCACTTAGAGCATCCTCTCCTTCTCACTAATGACTCTCAATCGGGTCCATGTGATATTTGTGGAAAAGAGCTTTGGTCCCTAGGCTATACATGTCCCACATGTAAATTCAAGGTGGATCTGATTTGCGGGATGAAGCCTTGGGCACCTGCTATTGAACACCCCGTGTGTCATGACCATTCACTCGTGTTTTTGAAGAAACAAGATGTGAAGATCTCTTGTGAAGCATGCAAACAATATATTGGTGGACCGTCCTATTCATGTCTTGAATGCCATATGTACTTCCACTTGGATTGTGTTCATCTCTCAAAAGAGATAAATCATCCTTGTCACTCAGGTCACCCTCTCAATTGCGTTCATCTCTCAAAAGAGATAAATCTTCCTTGTCACTCAGGTCACCCTCTCAAAGTCTTAGAAGATTTGTATGCCGGTCACCCTCTCAAATTCTTAGAAGATTTGTATGCCGGTATGAGTTGTCATTTCTGTGAAGATCGACCAGAAATGATGTATCATTGTTCTGATTGCGACTTCACCATGTGTTTTGGTTGTACCAAACATCCACCACCTCTTGTTGTTGATGATACCAAGACTCACGAGCATCCGATCACGCTTTTTTCAAGTGAAATCTCGTTTACTTGCGAGTCTTGTGGATTTCATGGCTACGACACTAAACCTTATATATGTCTCAAGTGCAATTATTTTGTCCATGGAAATTGTATCGGCTTACCCCGAGTCATAAACATCAATCGTCATGATCATTGCATCTCTTTCACGCATCATCTTGGCCGTCTGGGTACAAAATGTGGAGTTTGTCGGAAAAATGTAAGTCAGTACTATGGAGCTTACTTTTGCTCGGTTTGCCCTAACTACACAGTTCACTCAAGGTGCGCAGTTCGTTCCAGTATATGGAATGGTGTGGAACTGGAAAAGATACCTGAGAGGACCGAAGATATTGCACCATTCAAGGTAGTGGGTCATAATTTGATTAGTCACTTCAGCCATAGTGAACATACTCTAAAGCTCCTCAAGGATTATAATTTCATTGATCGTGATGACAAGTGGTTGATACGATGTGAAGCATGCATCTCTCAAGTGGGGTTTGGCCCGATCTATGCTTGCGGGGAATGTCCTTTTGCTCTTCATGAAAAGTGTGCTAATCTTCCAATGAAGAAAAGACTTATCTTTGACCCTGAACTATACACGTTGGAATGTGATAACGAGAAACTTATACGTTGCAAACCATGTGGAATGTTTTGTGATGGTTTCAACTACAGACTGCAAGAAGAAAAAAGTACGATGAAATATGGCTCTGTAGATGTACATTGTGGTTCTCTTTCTATGCCGTTCGTCCACTATGCGCATTCTCATCCCCTATATGTTGTTCAAGCACATATAGATAGTCATTGTGATGCATGTAAGAGAGTTCCAGATGATTACATACTCACTTGTGAAACTTGTTCTACCTTTTCCTTGTGTTTGTTTTGTGCTTCTTTGCCAGAGAAGATACGGCATATGAGCGATGAACACCCTCTCACTCTATCTTGTGTCGGAAATGCGAGCGACCAAACTTGGTGCGACGTTTGTGAGAGTGAACTAGATCCAAGTAAATGGTTCTATACATGCTCTGATTGTGAAGTAGCCTTGCATGTTCAATGTGTGCTAGGAGATTTTTCACGTCTTATGTCAGAATATCTATATACCTTTGGAGAAAGAGAATACCAAGTGGTCCTTAACAATCGCAACACTCGGCCATTTTGCAGCCATTGTTACACTCGATGCAAGGTCCCAGTTATCTTACAGGACAGTGGTAAAGACAATGGATACATTTGTTCCCTTTCATGTTTATCGAGTTGTTTGGGTATAGAAGTTGAATAACTTTGACTCAAAAGACCGAAATGTAATAGAGAGTGACATTGTTTCATATTTTTTTTTTAACACAAAAGAAAAGGATTCTAGTTGTAATAAAACGTCTTTTTAAACATTTCAAGAATCGATTCATCCTTTCAAATATGTCTAAACAGAAACAGAAAACAATTCAAAGTCTATGATTTTTATTCAGTTACTCGAACATGCTTGGGAGAGGTCTCACGGCCATGAACGCATCCACCATCTAGTTATTATTAATTAGTTTTCTTTTGTTAGAACCAACAAAACCAATAAAACTTTGATTGATCAGTCTTTATTAAAATAGATGTTTCTTACCTCATCAGTAACAGCAGCTCGAGCCATGCGGTGCCTCTCCACCATTTCTGTCAAAACTTCTGTGAGTCGCTTCTTTACTTCTCCCGTTAACATTCTTCCTTCTCCATATTCCTGAAACACAGTCCAATGGGTATTTATTACTTTTTTTTATGTAAGATAATCCAATCAAGACAGATATGAGCATCCTTTCATTCTCTCTAATGATCTAATAACAAGAGCTGGAGGCAAGTGGAAAGCAATGTACCTTCTTTATGTGTTCAAGCTCAGTATCATCTTCTAGGAAGAAACTAAGATACTTGACTGGTATATCCACCTGTGAGAGAACAAAAAAAATAGAAGAAAGGTTACTATAAAAAAAGATTTTTGAAGTATCAAGAAAACTGAATTGCAAAACCACATAGTTTGATAGGAGCAAGTCATTTTGAACTGTAATGAAAATTGGACCACAGTGCAATGAATATAGTTTGTGTTAGTACCTCCAAATTTGCTCCGATTTCTCTGTGCTTTTCGATAGAGTCTTGCCCACCACTGAAAGCATATCTGTTTATCTGCATATAAAAACCCTTCATCACGTTAGATACAGGGAGCAATCCTTTAGTTTAGGATTGGAGTTCGAATTCACGGTTAAACTTTTGAGACTCAGTTGTGGTTTAACCTTTTCTATAAGCATTCACTCAGGCATCGACCAACCAGACAATGAAAATGTGTGCAACAAGGATATTACAAAAACACACAGAATTGAATGTACCTTGTTTTTAATGTCTTTTGCAGTGTCAGTCACATAGATAGCTGAATTAGGATCACTGGCTGACATTTTTCCATTCTCTCCCTGCGAGAAAAAGTGACCAAGGCATTCAATAGTTCGTAAGCGTGAAGGTCTAGTGTAAGAATATCTCCAACACTTTCAGTAACTCTACAAGACTACTAAAGAAAGTACTTGCCTGCAGAGCAGGGAAAAATGATGATTCAATCAGCGCAGGCTTGCTATAGCCTAACCTAGGTGCAACATCGCGAGTCATCCTGAAGTAAGGATCCTACATATAACAAAAACAATGAGAGATTGATTGTGAACACCAAAACAACAAAACACAATAATACACGGAGAACATGAAATGAATATGTCTCAGGCTTGCAAACATTTTGCCATTGTGAAATTTATTTAAAACAGAGAACAGCAAACCTGGTCAATTGCACAAGGGATCAAGCAGCGGAGCTTGTCCTTGCCAGGGAACAAGTGTGGGAATGAGCTAGGAAACGATGGAACTGCCTGCAAATGCATGGAAGCTTATTTATCAAACAGTCTATATACGCATTATAATACTACACCTACACATGACAACAAGAACAAAAAGACATACCTGCACAGGAGGGAAACTGAGTTTTCCAATATGATCTTCCCCAGAAAAGCCAAAGATTCCCATAGCCTAAGGAGATATAAAAACGAAAACCATAAACATAACTCATACCAGCCACATTTTTGCAATTCAAGGAGATAGAAAGTAAACTCACCTTATTAAGAGTTACACACTTTGCAACCTTCACCATGTTCTTATAGAAAGCACTAAAATTGTAAACATAAAAAAAAAAAACTGTAAATGTTCTTATAATATTTTATGGAAAGCACTATTAGTATAACGCACTTAGCAATCTTCACCATGTTTTTATAGAAAGTAATATAAAACTGTCTCACATCATAACCAACACACAGATAGGATTCAAACTGAGACTACTCACCCGCCAACATAGTCAAAGTCAGAGAAAATGAAAGTCTTTGTGACATCAAACCCACAAGCAATAATATCTTTCGCATTCTCTCTAGCAAGTCTCTGACTTTCCTCAACCGATAAATTCTTCCACATGCACTTCTCATCATCCGTTAGTTGTATAACCAGAGGAACCTTGAAAGCCTCTTGCAAGTATCTACAAGCCAATGACAAGTATAAAGAACACAAGCATAAAAAAAAGACAATATCTTTACAAAGATCTAACTTACTTAGTAAACATGAAAGGAATCAAATGCCCTAAATGCAAAGCCTCGGAAGAAGGTCCTCTCCCAGTGTAGAGATAAAACTTGTCTCCCCTCTCATACGCATCCAACACCTCATTGAAGTCTCTGTTTTAAAAAAAAAAAAAAAAAAATCCTCAGCAAAAAAGAACATGACTTTCGACATACCCATCAACGCAATTACCTGTGTGCGAAGAAGACGCCGCGGCGGAGGAAGACGTGCGGTTGACGAGAAGTGAGTCTCTGAACACGATCGATCAGTGACTGGTCGAGTCTCTGGCATCCGAATTGGTCTATCAGCTTGTCGTAATCGATCTTGCCGCCGTCTTTGGCGGAGACTTCCCATGGATTCACCACTTGCTCGGACGCTGTCTCAACCGTCTTGTCAGTCTCCATCGCGTGGTGGGGAAGAAACCTATTGAAAGGAAGTTAGGTTCATAAGCTAGAGAGAGAGAGGTGAAGGCATTGTCATCTAAAAGTACCTATTCAGGTGATGGTATGACGGCGGCGGAGATGACTGGATTTGCGACTGTGAAGGAAGAGAAATCAAGGGTTAAAGGATTTATATGTTTTTTTTTGAAAGAAGAAAAAAATGATTTATATGTTTATTATCATTTGGGAGTCGAAATCTTTCTTTTTTTAGTCATTTGTACAGTCAAAGTTTTTGATTTATAAATTAGCCCCTGGAGAAAAACAAATTATTATGTTTCTTTTTACAATTTCGGACTCAGAATCTTTGTTTTTAGTCAATTGCCCCCATCAAGTTTTTGATTGATCAAATATACCTAAATGGTTATCACCATAAAACAGAGTTGATAATGTGGTTAAGCCTCACAGTGGGGCACGATGTGTAGTGTTATGCCTCACGGGGTACGCATTATCTTGGACTTTTTTTCTTTTTTGGAAAGCATCTTTGACTGTTATTTTAAATGCGAAAATGGATTTTATACTCTTTTCCTTAAAAAAAAAAGTGAAATATAACAAAAGAAAGCATCATGATTGTTTAAATATTAATATTTTCTTCAAAAACAAAGAGGACAGTGTCTGCATTTTTTAAGTTCTAACAGTAAATCGATATTTAAATTTTCTATACGTTATTGTGATCCTGAGTGGAGAAAAAAATAGTTAAAGAAATTTGATAACCATAGAACATTAAATAAGAGCCCCACAGATCAAACCAAGAGTATATTTAGAAGGGGCATTGTTTGCAATCCAAGTCGTCAAAATCTCGGTCACAAACAAAATCCACTACGTTTCACCAACCTAACCATCGTGTATGCTTTAAGTTATTATATAGCCATACTCATCATCTTTATCCTTGACTGTTCCACGTCTCTGACCAGCATCATCGATTCTATAAATGTCACTCCCATGATGACTGTATTCCTCGACCTCCTCTCTTATGTGCTACTTTACTCTTTGGTTACTTTCATCCTTAAGCTTCCTCTTGTTTCATACCCAACCTAACCGTCAACAGAGTTTCTTGCAATTTTCTTGCTGCCGGAATCTCTTATATATATATATATATATATATTTATTTATTTTTTCCTCACTGTAAGCGTCTGCTGACCTTGAAGGAATTTGTCAAGCTTCTCTGTATGAGGTAACATTGAATCTGAATCTTCATTGATATCATGAAGGTTTTGTCTCCTTTAGTTCACTTTGCTAATTCTATTTGAAAGCAAGGAATTTGATGGTATTTAAAATGTTCAATAACTTAGTATTGATTAAGTTCGGAATTAAAAAAAAAAAAACTTAGTATTGATTATTGAGCGAGACTGAAGTTTTCTGGTTCTGGTTGATTGGTCCTAATGTAGTTATCTTATGAAGTTATATATGCAGCTAAACCTTAACAAGGCTTCGACCTTATTGTTATTGATCCGCTCTGGTCCATCATAAACCTTATGAGTATCTTCAACTAGGCTATCACTTCACCGAAGTAAGTCAATGCTTGCCTTTGTTACAAAAAAAAAATACACAAAACATAAGCCATGAAGCTTCATGGCTTATACATGTACAAACTCCACCCCAAGATCCCGAAAGCTTTTTAACACTATAAAATCAAGTTAAAGACCAACCAAAATAAAAATGTTTAGTGGCCAAACAAAATCGATTGTATCAGCCCTTTTTGTTTTCGGTCTTTGGAGAAGGGAAATGTGAAATGAGGAGAAAGAGAATTGTCTGAATAACCGAGGAGACTGCCTAACGACTAACCAATTGATCATTAAAGTCTTTGATAGATATGGTTTAAGACGCAGGCAAGTCAACCTTGGCTACCACACAACTTCTAATTCTTCATGTCACCATTTCTCTTTATTGTTGATGAGTACACTCTAAATACTATGTGTATATATAGGCACGACGGCATGAACATGGAGGGGACACAATATGTTTCACTCAACATGTGTGCATGGCAATATTGGAATATGTTCTTACAGATTTGGTAACTGGATGGTCTCAAATATAACAAGTTGCCAAGTTGGTGAGCCCTATATTCATACTCGTACTTAGTCTTAGTTATGTTTTATTGTTAGTTAGAGCTTAGGATAACGTTGTTTTAAGTTTTGAAGATCTATTTTAAATAGTGTTTAGAAGACACAAAAATGGTTTAAGTGATATAGTCAATATGATAGCTGGCCTAGCTATAAATACATGGGCATTACAATACAACGATCATTCATTAGAGACTTACACCTGGTATTTTTCAGTCATGGTCTCTATAACTAAGTGTTTAGTCATCTAGATAGATGGACGACATGTGAATGATTTGTTATCTCTGTTTTAACTCTTAAGTTCATCCTTCTTTTGTTCGTTCGTGGGCCACCTTTTACTAAAAGTCATGAGAGCACCCCATCAAGGGTTCATGATGGGGGTTTACACGTTTTTCAAAAAAAAAAAATATTAAAATAATGAATAGTAGTGAACCTGCCCCTTAAAAGTTCTCTGCAGTGAACCCGGTTCACTACTGTAGCGCGGGCCCCACGACACGTGGCGGCCCGCGATTTGTCTATTTTTTTTTTTTTTTTTTAAAATCAAAAAGAAAATAGAAAAAAATTAATAATAAAATATTGAATCAATGAACCCCAAGAGGGGGTTCATTGATGTGGATGCTCGATGCCATATGAATTTGTGTAGTAAACACGAAAAATATGGAGCTTTCTCTCTGTGAATACTTACATGAAAATACAACTTCTAGATGTATTAGACTCATCTGCTTAGACTCTATATGCGAGACCTGTTATAGGTACATATATATAAGTTACCATGAGTTTTGCAGTTGTCTGATTGTTTTACGCACTGATCCAGATCATTAACCGATTGTATGCATACACCTCAATGATCAAATACCTTGATTCAAGGTGAAATCAATATAAACGTAAAGGTTTTATGGTTGACAACTTGACAAACAAAGCCTATATATACTTGTCCCCATGAAATCTTTTTTTTTTTTTTTTTTTGTCGACGTCCCCATGAAATCTAGTTACCAAGAAAAGATAATATAAAGTATTTCTTAAAATAAATTAAGAAATTAGCCAAGAATAAAGAAGGGAGATCTATACATTGTCATAAAGTATTTGTTTATTAAGAAAATAAGACACGTGAATTCGAGATTTTGGTTAATGATAAAAAAAAATCAGGCGCGAACGTTTTAACCGCCTTTTCTCGTTTGATTTAATCTGCACCGTTGATTAATATACACTCTGCCAACTGACAACCATAGGATCTCTCTGAAAACCGACTCGGATTCTTGGGTTCGCGCCTTCTATAAATAGTGGTCGCCTTCTTCCATGGATGATCACAACCCGAATCTTCTCCAGCTGGATCGTTTCTTGATAGGATGATGGTTCTATTATTGTTAGGGTCTGTGGTTGATCTTTAACCTCGATTTGCGATCATCAAGGTACGTTCTTCTTGTCTATGCATAGGGTTTCAAAATTTCCGTTGATACCGTTAAATAACTCTTGTGTGATTCGTATTATTTCTCTAGGGGTTCATAAAAGCGAACGATGATCAATTCTCGTTGATCTGATCAATTCTTGTTGATCATGTATGTCTCGTGATTAAAGATGAAAGATCTTGGTCTGTGTTTATATATTCTTGTTGCGTTACGTGTCATCTTTATAGGTTAAGCTCTTGCACGTATTTTGTTTGTGATCTCGAACAAAAAAAAATGTGAAAAAGGAAGATAGGTAGGGGATGTATATGAGTCTATGACCTTTGCCATGTCAGGTGCGCTTGCTTGGCAGGTCAAAGATCTGTCTCTCTTCTTCCCTTTCTTGCTCATTCATATGCTTCTTGCATACTAGATTATGCTTCTTGCATACCACGTTATTCTTCTTGCATCACAATATGCTTCTTGCATATTAGATTATGCTTCTTGCATATTAGATTATGCTTCTTGCATATTAGATTATGCTTCTTGCATATCAAAGTAAGTATGCTTCTTGCATCACAATATGATTCTTTCATACCAAAGTATGCTTCTTGCATATTACAATATGCTTCTTGCATACTAGATTATGCTGCTTGCATATCACGTCATGCTTCTTGCATACAAGATTTTTTTTTGCATACCAGATTATGCTTCTTGCATACCACGTCATGCTTCTTGCATACTATGCCATGCTTCTTGCATACCAAAAAGATGAACAGACCCAACATTGTGGCATCACTTGTGCCGCTCTAAATGTGGTTTGTATATGGACGAAGAGAATCATTGAGCATGGCTTGTGCTCTTTACCATACTTCTTGCATTTGCTTATCATCGCAAGGGAACAACAAACCTGACATGGAGCCCGTACTTAGCAGAACAAAGGTATTGAATTATCTGTTCCATCTTCTTTTCAGAAACAAAACGCATATGGGAGAATTAAGCGTTAAGCTAGTAAGTCTTTAGATTTTGGCAGTTCCAGATCTGTACTCATTCCATCGTAACACTCTCCTCTTGCTCTAACACAATCATCTAGGTTGCCTAATCCTAGTGAGTTCCTGATTTGGGACTTGTATACCTCTTAAGTTCGGATTGGCTTTTTGGGTATATATACGTGCTATGATTTTTAGGCTGTATGTATATATAAAGTATACCTTATATATGATCCAAAAAGTGTTGGCTAAAGTAATGTGTGTGTGGTGATACTTCTTTTAAGTTGCGTTTGCTGTTTTGGGTTTACCAGGAATCGCTTTTGCAAGTGTTGTGCCCCCAAGGAAGAAACATCAAAAGAATCTTCACCTCTCTATCAATGTGTCGCACTCCTCCCAAGTAGGAAGATGGAATATAAGCCTGAACTTTTAAAAGGTTGGTCTCTGTATCTTGCGGATTTGCAAGTGATTTTTCTTAATCACTGTCTTCAACCAGAATTTTTTTTGGTAATGACTGAAGTTGGATTCTAACACTTCAATGTTCATTAGCCTGTCTGATTCATAACTTTATATGATATTAATGGCTTTTGTGTGAATGTTACTTGTCCTAATTTCATGCAGGCGGCAAAGCTTTTTTCGTGACTTTTGGACCGTCTAATTTAGCAAACCCTCGCCTGTACATATTCTTTTGACTATACACGAGAAAGTAAGAAAGTGAATCTCTTTATATGCGATCTGCAAGAAAGGACTGCATTAGATGATTGTATCCTGATATAGGTCTCTTTATATTTTTGATTTTCTCAATTCTCTTAACAAAGTGAATAATAAAAGCTTAGAGTTTATTGCCAAGATCTTGGAGGCCTTATAGTGTAAAAAAAATCTTAGAGTTGTAAATGTAATGACTTGAAACTTGTTTTAACAACATGAAACTAAATAAAAAACAGTCACATACACACACCAAGTGTTTGGTTTTGCATCTCTTATTCACGTAAAAGCTCGGGATATGAATATTTTCACATTAAGTGACCATGTGTTTTGGGTTCAACATCTAAAGAGAAGGACGAAGCAACACTACTAGGGGCTGAACCAGTAATACCAATGGTCCACGAGTCAGCCATGACTATCATATCCATTCCTTCTTCCTCTTCATCATCACCATTGTGGTTTTCAATTTTTACCTGTTGGGATAAAGATATCTTCTCTAACTCGGTGAGCACTTCTCTCATGTATGGCCGCTTCTTTCCCTTTGAATTCAGACATCTCCTTGCTAGATTTGCCACGGTCATCACTTGTTCCGGTTTACATGCATCTCTTATTTGAGCATCCATAATATCAAAGAATTTGTTCTCCTTCATTGCATCTCTGAAATGATCCGCTAACCCTTTTATTTCTTGAGAATTTGAAAGGGTCAGTACAGGCTTCTCTCCTGTGATAAGCTCAACAAAAACATTATCAAAGACACATATAGATTAATAGATTATGAGGAACAGATTAGGGATACAGAGTTAATATATAGTTTGATTAAATCCGTCTTTTTATTTAACGACTACTGCATTTAAATCAAGAAGAGTTTACATGCCGATAAATAGTTCAGACAGAGTCCTCTTAGAGAGGCTGTCAGCTGCATCATTGTCTTTGCGAGACATATGTGGAAAAACAAAGGTGGAGAGATGACAAGTCGTGGATGTCTTGTAGAATTCCAAAAAGTCCCTTGATATGATCTCGTCCATTGATGGCCTGGATAAGAACCTGAGCGTCTGATTAGAGTTCGATGTTGTTGTGTCCTAGCGCTGTTGCTTGAAATAGAGCCTCTATAGCTAATGCCTGCACAACAAGTGGTGAACTCACCCACTTCTCCGTAGTACTTCCTTGTTGGAGTTTCAGCCCATTGTTGTCATAGAGAATCCATGCTAACCCTGCAGCGTTTGTATCCTCCTTCCAAGCCGCATCTGTGTTGATGAAGATGGCTGCTGTTGATGGCTGCTTTGGTGTCGTCTCCTGTATAGTTCCTTAGGGTCCTTAATAGCTTTGACTAATGTCTCTCTTTCATCAAAAAGCCTGTTCTCAAAAATTCTTTGGTTCCTAGTTTGCCAAAGTGTCCAAACAATCCAAGGAAACAGAGATACCAGGTGTACTCCAGTTGGGGGAAGGTTGGTAAGCTTGCGTGATTAAAATCCGTCTTGAATAGGATAATAACCCGTTGGAATTAGTTATATGTAGTTAAACATACCAAATCCATTCAGATATTCAGCACTAACCAAAATTGTACCTAGCTGCTTACTCGGTCGGGTATGCGACAATAGAATGGTAATGTTAGTTTAGGAAATCCAACAATTAGTCTTCATAATTTTTAATCGGGTCTAAATTCCAGATACTTAAAACGGAAAATAAACACCTTAATATAATTTTCATTGTGATATACTGATGACATGTCCCACGTGTTTGATTAATGTGGTTTTATGTTTTCAGACTGATGCGTACACCTCTACAAGGTGTTATAATCTACACTGTGTGGGACCATAGGAGGCCCTCAGACCGAACTCACCATACAGATATGGAAGGTTCCAGCAGCAGGACCATGGTGGCTAGGAGTCGGCTTCAACAACGGCACTAGTCTCTCGCCTATTAGTTACTGACCGGTTGAGATTTTCACCTGCCTCACTGATCACACATGCATACAGTGGGGGGGGGGGGGCGAGATAGTCGACAACATGGCTTTGGGGTGACACACCTTGACATAAATGGGTTCAGGATACCATCCCGGCAGCGACAAAGCCGCATACATGCGGGATCTACAGCTTGCCGTCAACCCGCGGGAGTTCCTTCCTGTTTCTCGTTTGGCAGGAGCAACCAACTCCTCCTACTACAGCGTCGATAAGTACAGCAACACCAGCTTCTCCAACGGTGGACCTGCGCATGGAGCAGTAGGTCATGCTATGTTAGATTTGATTACTCCTTTTTTTATGTTTTCTAGTTTTCTTGTTTGTTTAGCTTGTTTGTGTGTCCTGTTATGTAACTTGAGTGTTTGTTAAGACTTAATGTTTCCATATGTGTTGTGTTTTGCTATGTTATCACTCTCATTAGTCAATTCGCTTCCAACTTCAGGAAACCCTTATGATAATAACTTGCAATTGTATACAACCAAAGAGAAGTACACAGAGCTCAAGAGTATGATCTTGAAAGCTCCCCAAAGCTCTTGCTCTCAACAACCTGAAAACAAGCCCAATTTTAGAAACAATAACGATGAGGAAAAATTGACATGATAACTAGTCACCATGTATTTTTCTATGTTGAATCTTAGCTATAACAGTATTTTTTTGCGGGAAATGATACATTTACACTGGGTTCAAGACTTAAATTTTGAAATTATGTATATGTTTAGAAGATAAATGTTCATATTTCTATTGATTTTCTGCTACCTAATGGAAACTATTTTTTTTTCTCTTTTAATATTATATTTTTCAAAATAAAACTTAATTTTTACTTATTTTTTACTTATTTTTTACTTTTTAAATAAAAAATCTAATAATATTATATTTTTACTTTTATCCTAATAAAATATAATCACTCACTCGTGAAGTACTCTTGAATGTTTTCAAACGTTAAAGATAAATATTGTAGTTGTAAGTGTTGTGGCGAACGTTAAAGATAAATATGTTATATAATAAACTTAACATTTTTCCTAAAAAACAAATATTTAAAGGGTTTTATTTGGTCATCAATGTAATTTTAATTGGTTGATCTTCAAAAAGTTCAAAACATGAATATATTTGAAGTTCTTATGAATAAATGTGTTCTATTACGTCATATGCCAAGTCCCTTAAGAGATATTTGTTAGAACTATTCATGAATACATGAATTTAGTCATAAGAATTTTGTTAAATAGGCCACTGTAATTCAAAACTAATTAACTATATGTTGATAGTGAGACCTTAGTTGGCTTAACATATACAAATGTAAGCATATTTAGTTCCCTTGTTTTGTTAAAGCACTACCTTTTCAGTTTTAGATTTATTTATGTCTATCATGTCTTTGGAAACTTATTGATGATCATGATTCATGAACCATATTTGATGCAACAGCAATTAAAACTTAGAAGCTTGTATAGTATGTCTTTGCTAATAGCATTTATTAGGAATATACATCAAGAAAAACTTCTAAATGTTGCTTAGAGGTACGTTGCTGTCATCTTAACCTATTTGATTGCATCACATATGTCATAAGTCAGAAAACCCATAGATATTAGTTTATCTATCACTGGGTATTTTCTTGCACCATATACAGAAATAGATAATTTCAAATTTAAACCATATTTCAGACAATATTCTATTATATATGCAATTATCAAAAAATAAAACTAAATATTATTTCTAAAATTTGTAGATATTCAAAATAAAACTAATGGTGGTGCGATTAGAAAATTACCATTAAAAAACTGCATACCTTTTGAATTCTTTAGTAATTAAATTTATAAAATTATAAAAATAGAATATAATAATATTTTGAAAATTATAAAATGATATTATATTATATTTCTAATATTATATTATTTTTTAATTAATAATTTATAAGTTATTACCACATCCTAAATAACTTACCAAAATATCAAACAATAGTTAATGTAAATGTTCATCTTTATTGTTAAATTAATGTAAATGTTCATCACTATTGTTAGTATGACATTTGCGTGTCACCTTCATATGGCGAACTAAGCTCTTAACTTTTTGTAACTTACTAGATTTTATACTCGCGCTACGCGCGAGTCTGTATTAATAATTTAATTTAGTTTTAAAATAACTTAAAACAAAAATATGAATTGAGTAATATAATTTTATTATTTAAAATATAATTTTTAATTTAGTATTTATGTTTTCTTATAATTATGTTATCTTATTAGCTATTTAGTTATTTGTATTTGTAAATATATAACTATTTTGTAAACATATTCATAATTTTTGGAAATATTAATTTATAATTTAAAATATTAAATAGATTTAACAATGCATGTAAATTGTTAACACGTTATAATATTTTCATCATACATTTTTTTTTATTTTTTAACAAAATAAATGATTAAACTTCAGCATAATATATAAATTTTCTTTGTACTCAGAAAATATAATTTTTTATTTTCTCTTTAAGTTGTATAAAATTTTAATATTTAAATAAGTAATATTTGTTTTTGTATATGTAATGAATAACTTTATTTATTAAAATATTTTTTCTTGTATACATTTTTGTTACTATTTACCTTTTTAGAAATAACAAAATTAAGATAGTCATTTGCCAAATTCTTTTGGTATTTATTTTATGTTAATTTTTAAAATTCTACTATATACTTAGTTAACTACCTCACTTATATATGATGTTTTTAATTTTGTAAGTTTATCAAATTTTGATACTGATTTACATTTTATTTTGAAATAGATCATTTTTGTTAATGTTGACTTTTTCTAAGAAATATCAAAATTAAGATAATTAGTTATTTTAATGTTAATTTCAAAAATCTGTAATATAGTAAATTTAATTTCTATATAATGTTTTTAATTTTTAATTTTACCTGATACATATTTATTTTTTTTATTTTGAAATTATTGTTTTGGCAACATTAACATTTTTTAAAATAACAAATAAAAAATTATGTATCATGATATGATTGGTTTTTTAAATTCAATGTGAAAGTTTTCAATGGCTTAAAAACTCAATTTTATATAGTATAGAATATATATATATATATATATATATATATATATATATATTTCTAATTTTTTTTAAGAAATAGCAAAAAAATGTTGGTCATTATTTTATGTTTTTTTCTAAAATATCTTATATATTAAGTTAACTTATATATGATGTTTATTTTTGTAAGTGTGCCATGTTTGATATTGATTTATATTTTATTTTGAAACTAATAATGTTTTTTAATATTGACTTTTACAGAAATAGCAAAGTTAAGATAATTTGTTATTTTAACTAATTTCGAAAATCTATAAATTTTAAAATTAAATTTTATATAATATTTTAAATTTTTAAGTTTCCCTTATACATATTTATTATTAATTATTTTTATTTAGTAACATTAACATTTTTAAAAATAACAAATCAAAAAACTTATGTGTCATGTTATGTTTGGAAGACTTAAATCCTATGTGGTCGTTATAGTCATATTGATTTTTTCAAAAATATTAAAATTAATATAATTTGTTATTTTAATGTAAAAGTAAATTATATATAATTTTAATATTTTTAAGTTTCCCTTATACATATTTTTTAGTAACATTTAAGTTTTTTAAAAATAACAAATCAAAAAAACTTATGTGTCATGATATGATTGGAAAACTTAAATTTTATGTGGACGCCCTCATAGCTTAAAGATAATATCTAAATAAATTTTTCATAATTTTTGATCAATAAGTATAACTCGAAACTCATTAGCAAACCAACCTCATTGATGTTACGTGTTTCCCAAAACTGAATCATTCTAGCAAGAACTTCATTCTTATTAAAACCTTTTCTAAGATCATCGAAAACCAAAGAAGAAGTCAAAGCAACTATTGTATCAATATCTCTTTTCTCTTTCCAATATCTCTCTATTTCTTAAAATATATTTTGAAAACTTTTAGAACTTTAGACAATTATTTATAGTCATCCAATACTTCATATATTATAAACTTTCTTATTTTATTTTATGTTAATGTGCAGACCTTTGGAAATCCTAACATTAAAATTTGGAAATCTTGACATTTTAAAATTAATAATTTATATTAATAACCCGCTTTATTCTATTTTATGTTAATATACAGAACTATGGAAATCCTAACATTTAAATTTGGAAATCTTAACATTTTAAAACTAATAATTTATATTAATAACCTAATTTATTAGATAATATCATTTTTTAATTAAACTAATTTGGAAATAATAATATATTAAAAAATTTAAATTAAATTTATTTTATTTTTGTAAGATGATTTTTGTTACTTTTACTATTTTACAATTAGATTATTATTTTATTTTTGTATAAAAGATACTTTATATTTAGTATATCTAAAAACACATTAATATTTTGTCAATATTTTTTTATTTTTGATTCTCCAGTTTTTTTTATAACAGTTAACATTTTTAAGTAAGTTGTAAAAATTTAATATTTATTTTTTTAGTTAAATTATATATGGAATATTAATTTCCTTTTTAATATAATTTGGAAACATTGACATTTTCTAAAAAAAATGATAATTTACATTTAGTATATCTAAAAAGACAATAAATGTTTTGTTAATATTACGTTTTTATTTTTGATTTTCCATTTTTTATAACAGTTAACATTTTTAAGTAATTTGTAAAATGTTAATATTTATTTTGTTAGCTAAGTTATATATGGAATATTAATTTCGTTTTTAATATAATTTGGAAACAATGACATTTTATAAAAATAATAAACTAATATAATGATGTGTCATTATACGA